ATGTTTTGTGTTGTGTGACAAACCTAAGTCTTACTTGAGCTACAGTTGCGGACACATGAACCCCACCAATTTTGGTATCCGATTTGCGTGGGTCGTGGAGACCCTCAGAAAAGGTCAATAACGGTTAACACAACACCTTTCAATAGACTAGATCATAATTGTACGAGCGGATCATGGAAAAATAACAAAATGACATTCGACACCCTAAAAATTTGGCGGTCCCTTAAAAAAATCGCTAAAACATGGGAAAATGTGCAATTGACTCCTTTCCCTAAACCAAGTATGGATCTGCAATGAAAGATATATTGAACATAATTGTGAGCCCCCAAAAATCGTACATTTTTGCTGATTGATTCTTGTCCCATCAACGCAAAAGCACATGAAGGCTCGAGGGTGTCCCAAAAAACGGCTCAGGAATATTTCTGGGCTTCGCAACCAAGGTCGACCACCATCGCCTATCGCCAAATCAACTTGCACATCTGATGTGCGCTCTCATCAGGAAAAAACGAAAACGGTCATAGCTCCCAGCCATCTCTCTGTAGACAACAGTAGACATTGTAGTTATATATAGGCTAGCAATAAATATTGTAGTGCGCCATTGGATACATCGTCAAAGCAGTATGCACGTTGACTCCATAGTTTAGTCCACAAGTTACTCGGTCTACCTGAAGCTACTACAGCGATCACTCTATGTAATTACTGGTCAAACTCAGCTAGGTTTTTGGCGCATCATGAGGATAACTAAAGAGATAAAAAATAAGCGTGAGTTTTTTCAATGAGTGAAGACAACAAGAGAGGGTTTAGGGTTATATACGCCGAATCATGCTGTCCGCACAGAGCATCTCTATACCATTGTTCCCAGCATTCACGAGTGGTTCCAAAAGCAGCTGCATGCAGTAATGAAAGAGACGATAGCCTGCGAGGGAGTTATCTTCGAAGGATGCGAGCTTTGACACAGGTAGATAACCCAAAAGAACTGTAGCATGACGAGAGGGCTGACATCGAACTTCTTTAGCGAGGTTGCCAATTGTGAGATAGACAGGCCAGGCTGTCTTATCGCCTTTGAACTGGGACAACTGTGTCTTGTTGGACGCAAGTATAATGGGGGTGATAGTGGCACCGTCGACCAAGCGTTCCTGAATTATACCAGTGAGCTACGTTTTCATGGGAATTTATGTCACAATTCATCTGGATATCCCACCACCACCCTCCCGTCCACATTTCATCATACAGCTGAGTCTTTCCCTCAATATCCGCATATACTTTTTCCGGTGCGTATGCCAGATGGTCACGGAAGGCACTATTGCCGATCAACTCACGAATACATTCCACAGGGTCTCGCATCCACAACTCAAGTTCTTCTCTCTGTACCTCACCATCTTCGCCTTCCTGGTCACCTTCAGCGGTAACGAGCCGGCACTTCCATTCAGGGCCCGCAGGTAGTTGATCAATGGACTTCAAGAACATATAGTTACTGCCATAGGATGGCTTGGTACATTTCTGAGTCTGGGTTGTGTGAGTTTGAGAGAGATAACGTAGAAGTTTCAGCTTACAATGGGTAACTTCAAGTATTCTTGAGTAGCCGTTTGATTCACATTCTTTATTAGCCACTGGGCAAGGCCCCATTCATCTTCATCAGAAAACGGTCCAAATGGTCCAACCCCCTCCGCATCCTGCTTATTTTTAAGCCGTTCAAACACTGTCTCGCCTTGGCCAAAGATCTTAGCTGCACGATCATCAGGAAAGATGTGCACGATCATCAGGAAAGATGTGCACGATCATCAGGAAAGATGTGCACGAATCGTCGGATTCTCCCGCCGGCCTCTTCATCCTCCACTTCCTCGACCCGAACACGTTTAGAAGACGAACCAACAGGATCGCGCATGTCTTCAAAATCAGGAGCTTCCAAATCAGAGTGTTGGCGTCGAGTAGGGATGAAGGTCGGTATTTCATCTAGTAGAAGGTCAATGTCTGCTGGTGGTGCAGACATATCATGATTCTCGCTCGCATCTCTCGTAAGTTGCTTGCACTTGAATAGTAGCTGGTCAAGCTTTTTCGTCTGTCGATTTGCCTGCTCATCTCGTTTTTTCCGGCATGCTGGAGTGTGACTAATGTGCCGTTTTACAAGTGCAGGTGTTGGCAATGACTTGCCACAGTGGCCACATCTATGATTCATGGATGGTCGTATAATGGTGACGGTGAGTGTTCAGGACCTTAAAAACTTGTTTTACAACCCTTTGAGTTACAGGCAGAACTGGTTCAGCCATCGGATTGAGAAGTCTTGTCCCAAAGGTACGCCATGTCTTAGATTCATCATCAGCAGCTCCTTCAGACCCCAAAACCCCACTTCATATCCCGCCGGACCTGGGATAGCTTACAAGTGTGGATACTGAACCTTTGCCTCCATCTTCCATGTCCACTCAACAAACAAGACACGATGCGATGCGACGCGCTTTGTTGAACAGACCATCGCATCTTTGTTGAATGGTGAAATAAGGTTCACTTGGTACAGTATAAAGTGAGGCCCTTCAGTTCTGGTACACAGTAGTTCTCCCTGAACTCACCGTCCCTCACCACTCCTCACCACCCTTGTTCCTCTCCTCACTGCCTTTTCTGCTACTTATCATGCCATCTCCCAGTGCCCTTGCCTCAAGCCTTCGTCCTTCAAGTGGCCGTGACCGCCGTAAAAGTGGCAAGGCCCAAGCCATGAGTATGCCAACCCTGCTAGTATTTTCACCGTATGCTAACATTACAATTTGACAATAGTTGACGAGCAGCAGGAAAAAGAGAGCCGTAAGCACAAAGAACTTGCTGAAAAAGCACGCGCGCGTGAAGAGCGCAATCGAAAACACAACCAGATCACCAAGGCCGCAGAAAAACTCCCACTGAGGTCCCACGTTGAAAACTATGGTACGTCGTCAGCATCTAGCAGTAGCTATAATGCCTGAGTACCTCTTCAAAGATACTTCAGAGGCACCTGTTCGAAACATCGCACCCGATTCTTCAGTAAGGGAGTCACCTATTATTCTTAAGATCATTCCAATTCACTCTTTGTTTAGTTTAGTTCACGAGTTGTCGATACATTGGCACAAGGTGCTCGCTGTAGTGCAGTGGCCCTTGTTGCTCGCAAAGGTAATGTGCCGCCTGCACCCTTGAATTTTGCTTCCCCCAAGGGACAACCTACTACACAACTTACTTCAAGGGTAAGTATTGTGACTGCGCGACATATGCTCCATGCTGACAACGTGTGTAGACAATACCAGGTCATGCACGTATCCTGACGGTTGAGAAGGCGGCCAAGCTTGCCAACATCCGAGCGGTGTCAGCCACAACTCGTGCAGCTCAAGAAGGTAAGTCAAAATTGTGCGTTTTACCCTAGACTAAACATGGTTGCAATATAGACAAAATACACTTATCCCCATCTCCTGTTGCCTCTTATCACACCAATATCTCTAAGGCTACTCACTCGTTTTCGGCCCAGGAAAACTCACTGCGGTCTTCTCAATCCCCAACCCCACAAGCAAGGCATCCTCTGCCACATGATGTCCCCGAACTCTCAGATGAAGAGTTTGCAGATGAACCCGAGGATGAGGACATGGATGTTAATGAAGGCTTCGACATCAATGAACGCCACAGCAAAAAACGCCATCCCACGGAGTATATTGATCACAGTAGCAATAAATGACATCGCGCGGCATTGAACAATGATGGCGATGAGAATGATGATGGCGAAGACTTGGACGGAAATGATGAAGTGGACGATAATGGCGATGACAATGATGGCGAAGACTTGGACGGAAATGACAAAGCGGACAACAATGGCAATCTATGTGAAGAAACAGCAGCAAGTGCTGGTCGTGGTAGGCCGAAAGCTGGTAATTATGTATCCAGCGTGCGTGCAGTATTGAAGCTGGCCATTGAGATCTATCACGGTCTCCTCCTCACTAGAAATCCTTTCCCGGACGACGTGGAAGAAGTGGAGTGGTCCCGATTGGCGTGGAAACAGGCCTGCGCCAACTTGGACCTTGGGATATCACACATGCCCGAGTTACTAACACTTGTAAGTAGTTATACAGTCAGTGATCACCGATTGATGAAA